GACCGGTATTCATAGTCGATTCTTATTTCAAGACCGTCTTAAGTAACGTCTTAAGACACTAATGCGGCCCTCTGATTGGTTCGTGACACCTCAAGGCTGAACTTACGACGATCTTGAATATAAGATCTGACTATGAATACCGGCCTACAAGTTACCACTATTATGCGGAGTCTACAATAAAAGTCGTAGCAGTTGTAAGGTCTTAAGTCGTAGAAAATTGACCAATCACAGTCGAATATGAGAAGAATAATCAACTGTGATTGGTCAATTTTCTACGACTTAAGACCTTACGACCGCTACGACTTTTATTGTAGACCCCGCATTAGTGTATCTCGTACATTAAATTCAATTTCAGTAAAATTATTAAACATCACTGCGCATGCTCTGACGCTCGACGCTTGACGCTGCCATGTAAAGGCACCTGAAGGGTGCCGTCACATGCGGCGTAAAGCTGGTTCTACAATACATTAGTTGCATCGCAGTGTCGCAAACGTTGCGGTCCAATCAACGTCAGGCTAGCTCGACTCTGATTGGACTGCAACGCTTGCGACGTTGCGATGTGACTAATGTAGAACCAGCTTAACCTGCGTAAAGCTGGTTCTACATTAGTCGCATCGCAGCGTCCCCAAGTGTTGCGGTCCAATCGAGTTAGATTGAAGCCTGATTTATAATGGTCGTAACCGTTAACTTATGCCGGCGCCGGTAAAGTTCAACCATAGGATTGCAATGCTTCCATTCATATTAATACGGCAAGTTAATACGAACGAAAGCATTGAAATCCTATGGTTGAACTTTACCGGCACCGGCATAAGTTAACGGTTAGGGCTATTATAAATCAGGCTTTACATAGCGCGGAAACACGGAAACGCGCAACCAGTAATCGGTAAAACGTGGAATCATAATAGCGGATCGCTTCTGATTGGTTACGCGTTTCCGCGCTCATGTAATGGCACCCTAAGCGTAATTTACGCCGACTAATCATTTTGTTTCACTTGAACATCAATTTCTGCCTAGTTACTTTATGCTTTTTATGCTATATTGTCGTTACACCAAACACATTGCCAGTATATTTATACATATGAAAGATGGCAGTCTTACGTCTTACTGCTTACTGGGGTGCGTTCAGAATGGTCGCGTTCAGCAGACTCAACTGTTGTGGAGCGGATCCATGTGTGCTCGCTGCTATTGGTGTATTCTTTTAGATCATCCAATAGCAGCGAGAAATCACCGATCCGCTCCGCAACAGTTGAGTCTTCTGAACGCGACTAATGAAAATTTTTCATTCGGTCAAGGGTGTCCATGGATAATGTGACGTCACACGCTTGGACATTTTCATCCAGAACGAACAGTTTTACTATCTGTATGTACCAAGTAAGTCAGCATAACGCAAGTGGCCGAATTTATACAAATTTGTGATTAATATAATGGCATCATTTAATTGTTCAGATTATTATTATTTATTATTATTATTTTTATATTATTGATATTAATTCAGATTATTACAGGAAAGCCCTCTATTATGAGATAAGCGCTTAATATGAGATAGCGGTGTTTCTGCTAAACTAATAAACGCTATATATCTATTGGTTCCACCATGAATTTATTGCTCTTGGATTGAAAACTATTTAGTAGAAAATTCAATATTAGATCATGCCTGTAGTCGTAAAAAAAGATTTTATAATTTGGATGTTTTCAAGTTTCATAGAGATGAGCCTTTAAACCTTGTTTATTATTTAATAAGTAAATATTTGGCAACAAATTCTTCATGTAGTGATAGAGTAAGGTCGTACTAATATAAAAATGCAGGATATGTTGAATTGCTTAATTACAGAAGCCCTTTTTATACTGCCGAAAATTTGCTCAGGATTGACGGTCTTTAATAGTATCTCGTCGGTGGTCACACCAGTTTAACTATGGGGTTGCGCACAATAACAGGAATAAGGAATTAGTAATAAGGAATAATGATTTCAACCTATCAGAAACCATGTATTCCGATGTAATCGATTTCTGATAGGTTAAAATCGTTATTCTTTATCCCTAATTCGTTATTCCTTCTATTGTGCGTAGAGCCTATATAAAAAGTCTGTTCGCGTCGCAAGCTCCAACATGCTCCTAGCCGCTGTAGAGTCCTATATATGAGAGACATTCATCCCCACTACCACCTCTAGCATATGTTTAGCACCGTCATATTTAACCCACTCCAGTAGTTGATCATTTCCATCAAACTTCATAATGGAGTTGTAAACACACTCCGTCAGGACGGGGGTTAAGTAGTTTAACAACTAAAACACAAAAAGAAAAAACAATATAAATCAAATTTTATAACAATAAACAGTTTTTGACAGGTTGAAATTGTGTAATTTCTATCGCTATCGCTCACATTGTGTCTGGTGCTTTACGCAAGAGTCTGTGCTGCGGCCATTATACTAGGGCTGCGTTTGATTTGCACGCTCACACGCTGTAAGCGCTCATGCTTATAAGCGCTGTTTTTTGGTGTTCAATTTGGTTTGTCAGTGCTCACATTAAATAAGTGAAGTCGTTCAATTTGGCTATTATAAACGTTAAGCTTAGACATGTAATTGATAATTGATCATAAGTGATTCGCTTCTTATATACTGAAAATAAAAATTTACGAAATTTTAATAAATATTTGTTTAAAATAGTATCAATGAGATATTTGCCAATAGCGAATAAAAATTTATTCAATAAAAAGTAATACTTTGATTTAAGTATTATTTCTTAAAATAAATATTTATTTACTGCAAGCAAATGTCCCATTAGTACTATTTAAACAAATATTACAATTTTGTAAACTTTTTTCAATGTAACCTTTTTTGTCTTATAACCTCTTGTTTCCTTCTACCAAAGGTGCATTCATGTCGTGGTACTTCATCGGGAGTTAAAGATATTATGAGTATATTCCCAATCTGTGCATTTTCTAAATCAACTAGAACTTTATCTGAATTGATGTTATCTTTGTATGAGTAAATTCTTTTTCCTATTTTCTTAAAGAAAATTTAAGTATCCAATTCCTTGTTGGTGAACAAAGTCCTTTTTTTATTAGCACAAAATTGGAAAACGTTTGTAGACGTCGTATACAAGTATATTACGAAAGCATTAAAATATACACGCAATCCGACACATTTGTTAAATATTTCTCTAATCATGAAAAAACATGCATAGATCTAACCTATTAAGGTTAGGATCGAACATTACTCACGTTTATTTTGGCCAATAAGCGCTTATTTGCGCTCACGCTTTTGCTACCCTACCTCGATGAAATAGGCTGCGGTCCACTTGCTTCTTTCAAATGCTCTGAACGCTACGCTCTAAACGCTACGCTCTAAACGCTACGCTCTAAACGCTACGCTCCGATTGGTCCATTACTGTCCCGAATGCTACAATTGCTACGTGACGCTCCAGCCAACCCACCTCCCGAGGTGAGGTAGTTGGAGCGAAGTGGGAGAGAAAACGATGACGTATTGGCTGCGTTCAGCAGACTCAACAGTTTTGCAACCGTTTTATGATTGTCTGCTGAGATAGGACCATTCTTCTAGATCTAAAAGTATGATTCAATTAGCGCGAAGGAAACTTCCAACAGTTGCAAAACAAACGTTCTGCTGAACGCAGCCATTGATGCCGTAATCAGGGTTGCTGGGAGCGTTCCGAAGCATCAAATGGACCAGTCATGTTAGTGCTACAAATGCTCCGTAGCGTTTGAAGCGCTAAGTGGACCGCAGCCATAAGCATTTGTGAGCACGAATATGACGTCACGGATGATATCATGAACGCATCTCTGAGCGCTTACACCGCCAAAGCGAACAACATGAACAATGCTTATAAGCGCTTAGAGCGTGTAAGCGTTGCAAACCGAATGCAGCCTAGGTGTATCCAGAAGCACAACCGGTCACTGGCTACGTTTATACCGTATGCTTAGTCCGCGGCCTATACAATAGATGTCCTTGTTTATCCTGTAAGTTAAACAAAGACATCTATCGTATAGGTCGCGGACTAAGCGTACGGTGTAAACGTAGCCACTGAACGCTCAGTCAGCCCTTGTTCCTATTTGGTCTATATTTTTAGATCTTATGGAATATGCCAATCAGATGCAAGAGCTCCCTGAGCGCTAATGGCTGCGTTCAGCAGACTCAACAGTTTTGCAACCGTTTTATGATTGTCTGCTGAGATAGGACCATTCTTCTAGATCTAAAAATATGATCCAATTAGCGCGAAGGAAACTTCCAACAGTTGCAAAATAAACGTTCTGCTGACCGCAGCCAATCATAAAACGGTTGCAAAACTGTTGAGTCTGCTGAATGCAGTCAATATCCGTAATAGTCAGGCCTTATATTTAAGGCTTCCTTAAATTTATCTTCAAACGCTCTACGAATTATTTCATTGACTACTGAGCATCTATAAAAGATAAATTTAAGGAAGCCTTAAGTACAAGGTCTGACTATACAGGTATTAGTGAGCGGTCGTGCTTCTGGATGTACCCACTGTGACACAACCATAATTAGGCATTGAAAAGAGAGAAGACAAAGATGCCGAGTGCAAAAAGTGCGAGTAATGCGAACAGGCCTAATATGCAAGTGAACTACTCCTCTGAAATAGTAGTGCTGAGTGAACAGGAGTCTTAATTACAATAATTATGATAATTATTTACTGATTAACCTTTAACCGTGTTAAGTGGACTTTCGACATTCCATTCTTGAGTATATATCAGTACGGCGGTGTTCCTCGCACGGCATATTTTTCCTAATTTTTTCCAGTAGTGCAAGATCAATTTCTCCCATAGCTATACCCGTTTTATCTGCACATTGTGCTACAATAGCACCCCAAGGATCCACAATCTGAAAATGAACGGATTCTGCTTTTAATTATAGTGAACAATTTTTTAATCTTATTGAGAAAAAATAACTATATACACAATTATTTACCATGGCATGACCCCAGCTCACTCTTTTTTTGTTGTGCGCGCCAGTTTGTGCTGCAGCTATGACATAACACTGATTTTCTATGGCTCGTGCTCGCAGCATCACTTCCCAGTGTGCAGCGCCAGTTTCATATGTGAATGCTGATGGATACGTGAGAATCTGCGCTCCCATATTCCGCAATGTTAGCGATAACTCAGGAAATCGCATGTCGTAACACTATCATTGTTAAGGTGTGTTTTGCCATATATTTATAATTTATATACAAGGGTTCGATTGTATATCTTGAAATGAGATGAAAATTACGAAAGTGAACAAATTCACTAGAATACTTATATTGGTTGCGTTCAGCAGAGAAAATTAATCAGTTAGCGCTTAAGTGATTCTTTAATACGATTAATTCTTTCCTTTAGTACTTCGCTAAATTTAAGTGTAGGAACCAATCGTATTAAAGAATCACTAAGCGCTGATTAATTTTCTCTGCTTAACGCAACCAATTTCATTGGTCAACATCTAGTGAATTTACTTACTTTTGTAATTTTCATCCTATTTCAAGATGCACAATCAACCCCAGGGTGTCTCATTTTAATCAACCATCTTCCAACATTTTCTTTGTTTTTAGCTTTACAAAAAATGTTTCAAACAAAAAGTTCTGACTTAATAGGGGCATGATAAAATTATTTGAAAAAAATCAATTTTTTAAGACCATATGAAAGTTATTGTCATTTTTAAAAATGAGATGACATGACTGTTAATTTTAATTAAGGATACAATACTAAGCGCGAGCTTGCCGATTGGTGTGGGTACAGGTGGCACAATTTCAATTCCTTTATGCACATAGTCCGATTCCATCAGGCGTACTCCGGTATCCTTATTATCCATGTCAAACAAGTGTAACTTTCTATATGCAGCAATTAGTTCCCCTTCATTATTTATTAATATATGCGTATTGTAAATCTTTTCCACGTTATCTGACTGAAATGATGAATGTCTTTATTATATCATTGAAGAAATAATTATTTTGTCTTTTATATATTTAAGTGAATTAATGTAAAATAGAAATTAAAATATTTACAGCTTCGTGAATTCCACCTAAGGATAACCAGATATTATTCTTAATAGCAATCTCTTTATAAGACGTCACTGTAAGTCCAGTCAAAGGTTCAGCCATGGTGACAATATCCTTTTTATTATCTGCCAAATAATCGCAAGCTTCAGGAAAAAATGCTATCTGCAAAATATATAAATTAGAAGAATAAAATTATTGTTATACAATTTAGGATATAAAAAACTATTTGTTGTAAAGTACATACTGTGGCTGATCTGCGTTTGGCCTCAGCTGTTAATTCGCTCACAACCTCCAGATTTTTCATTTTGTCAGCTATTGATCGCATTTGGCATACTGCAATTAGTGGATGTATCATTGTGTTGATGTAACGTTTCGTCGATTGTATGCTAAAATGCAATAACTTAGTTATCTTATAAACATAATAGATGCATTCAAAACAACCGCTCAATGAGCGGATCTTGTCCTCAGTTGTTCTGAATGTACCCAATAACAAATAAAAATAATTTTAATATAACGAAAAGAGCAATTTTTTTTTAGTGATAAATAGTTTGCGAACAAACGAATAAAATGAACGAATCTTTTACGTGAAATAGATGACTAGTTCACAATTCTTAAACGAAGCATGTCATATTGAACTACTTTATCGACAAGCGACAACTGCCAAACTACAAGTTCCTGGCGAACATAAGTAAACACGCGGTGAAAATGTCATCCAACTTTTTTTATTTTGTACAATATCTAAACATAAGTACTTTTTTTTAAATAAAAATAGTTGGTTGCGCACTTTTTTGCAACAATTCATCGTCAAAAGGCTAGATCATGAAGAATGGAGACCAGCGCCCCAGTGATTACGATCAGCAGACTCAACCATGGTGAAAAGAATATAAAGTGAAAGGACTACCGCTTGAGTGCCTACCCATGCAGCAGAAGAGCGTATGCCTAAAGGTGCATTCACATTCAAGCGTCAATCAGCGGAAGCAGCAACCAATCAGCTGGGCGATACGGGAATTGGTGTAAAAAATATTTTTTACTCTACTGTAAAAATAGCTTCGTTGATTGGTTGCTGTTTCCGCCGCTTCATGCTAGACGCTAACATGTGAATGCACCTTAATTCACACTGGACGCAGCAAATGTCAAAAGCAGCGGAGCGGCAACCATCGAGGCGATATTTTTTACACCACTGTAAATATCACCTCACTGATTGGTTGCTGCTCCGCTGCTTGATGCTTGACGCTTGCATGTGAATGCACCTTTACTGCTGCTAGCAAAGCAACTCTGTTCTCTTCATCTCTTGTCGACCATTGTCAACTCAACAATCATTATCTCTTAGTTGATTTGTCAGCGACATTTCATCTGCTGTGTCAAACTGCATAGATTTCTTGTGACTGCGAGGGCAAGTTAATTACATCGAAATGCTTAATCACGTGTTGCGACCGATCACTCGTAACTTTATCAGAAGCGGTGAGATTTTCCTTATTTTAGAGCCATTCGTGCTAATCAGCTCTATATCTTACATAATGTCCGCTATTATGTATGAATGTTGCTAAATGTTATTCCGTGTAAACTCGTGGTAATAATAAATAATATAAAAATCCTTTGCGCTCGTCCCTCTCTGTAATGATAAATTCTTTAATTAATATTTTCTGTCAATTACTTTAGACTTGTGAATTTAAGAAAGTAATTAATTGTGAATTATAAGGAAATGCTATTGTAAAATAAAATTACAAACTCGTGTAATTTATCAAAAAATATATTCTTTACCCTAACATTAGACTTTATGGTTTCTGATTTTCCGTGATATAACTTCGACTTAATGTAATATCGTCAGAATATTTAACACTAGCATTTTGTCTAAAGCAAGAATTGTTTCAAATTGATATAAGAAACTTTTTATTTGAATTAAGATTGTCATTAGGTCTGTTGCGTTGCACTTTTTGCAATCAGCATCTTTGCTTCCTCTCTTTTTAATGCCTAAATATATCTATCATTTTATGTTCAAAAATTTTGGAGGATTTCAAGCAACACGAACAGACCTAATATCGGAATTGAAAAATTATATTAAATTAAAATTGGAATTATCTTTGCAAAAATATATAAATCAGAAATAATCTATAAATGCATGTAAGTTGAAAGAGTAAGAGAGATAATATTTCATCTGAACATATAATTTTTCATTGTAAAGGCAGTCGTTCCTCCAGTTCAAAAGCCATGGATGATATTAAATTGGCAACAGTAAATGACATACCTGGATCATGTGGACCATGGAAAACACATTATGACGCAAGACAGAAAGTTTACAATGCTCAATTAATTGCTGGTGTTGGTATACTAATTAGTACCATAGCTTACGTATGTATCAAATTTATGTTACCTCGGATAATGTTAACTGTATCAGATTATAAAATCTTATTCTTGTAATATATTAGATGTGTGTTTGAATAAGTTTCCGCCTTTTTCTAAGAGACGTCGTCAGTACGTCATGAGTACTATATGCATAGAATTCCAGTGGCAACTGTTGTATTTGAGAGTACTATACATAAGCTTTCATATTTAGTATATGACATTTGATGGACGTGCAAACAACATTATTGTCATTGCATTGAAAACGTTAATTTTTTTGCCAAGCAAACAGCATTTGTGGGAAGTTTTACTGCATTTAGTTTATTGTCAAGAAAAATGCAGCTGAAAGTTATCGTTTGCTTGTGTATGTAAGCATGCTCCATCCAAAAGAGTGATTTCAACGCTTTAGAAGTGATTTTGATAAAAGATAAAGAACGTGAAGGTGCACTGAAAAATTGAAAGATGAACAACTGGAAGCATTACTTGATGAAGATCCATGTCAAACGCTGAAAGAATTGTTAGAGGCATTAAATGTCAATTAATCAACTGTTAGCAAATGTTGAAAAGCAAAATTTCATTTAAAAAATGGCTGAAACTTATTCAAAAAAACATCTAATGTATCTCTTGATATATTACCTATGATAGAATTTTATATTTCTGTGTTATATGTATTAAATTTTATATTTTGTTGTATATTATAAGTTAGATGGATCATATCATTTATGTGTGTATGTATGTGTGTGTGTATATATATATAAAATCCTGCATTTTATTTTCAGATAAAAATATCAGGCGTTATCTTCTTTAACTTTAGCCCACCAGAGGAACCAATTGAAAACAAATAAACATTCAAAATATAAAATTAGAGAAAAATAGATATGAAAGCAATCTGGCCATACTGCTGAGAATGTTATGTACTTTATTGTGCGAATGTAACACGCAATAACTTGTACTGTCCTCAATAAACAGTTTATATTTATAACTATATATATATATATTCAGGAAGTGATCTATTTCATGAAAATGTCTTACCAAAAACTGATACAATCTCATAAAAAGTGAAAGGCATATATTAAAATAAACCGCTTTTTATTATGTTGATTGTTATACAATTTTTCGTGATAAAAAATTATAACATCATATGAGGAGACTTCTAAAATGCATTGTGTTCAAAATTTCATTTTTTTAATTAAAGAGATGGCATAGTGTTCAGTGTTGAGAGACTCATATTTTAAGCTACTCTACGATGTTCTGAAAGCATTTCTACCAGGGTTTGAAAAAAACCCTGTGGAAAAATGTGTAAAGCCCAAGACAATGCAAGGGAATAGCGATAGCGATAGGAATAACACGATTTCAGCCTATCAGAAACTGTGTATTCCGATATATCCGATTTCTGGTAGGTTGAAATCATGCTATTCCTATCGCTATCGTTTATTCCCTGAATTCCCTCGTATTGTATCTTGGGCTTAACCTATCAATCAAGTGGAACCAAGATGGCGGATGACAAACCTACATATCTAATGCCTTTAGTATTAGCATCTTAAGACCAGGGTTGGGTAAGTTAACTTTTTTTTTTAACTAAATTAAGTTAAACAGCTTTGAAAATTTAACTTCATTAAAATACAACAAGTTAATCCATAATGAAATTAATTGAACTAAAAGTTAAGTTAATAAAAAAAGTAATTGAAAAGTTAAAAGTTAAATTTGATTCGAACGGACAACCAAAAAAAAGAAAAAGAAAAAGTTTGACCATTTTATATAATTTTTTGTATTTTTCCGTTAAATTCCGAGTCTCGACATCGTCGATTCATATCGACATGAGTGTTCGTATTAATGATGGATAATAATTTTGGCATATTTGCAGTATGCACTTCGTAAACGATTTTTCGGTTACTTTCACGAAAGAGTGGCTCACTCATGCCTAGCGCCCAATTACTGGGGTATTGTGACTGAGAACTGTGTAAATGTCTGGAAATATTTTCTGTCGCGTTAATTTCGAGTTTTGAATACGTTTTATTTGCGGAAACAATAAACAGCACAAAATATTAAAGCTGTTGTAATCCGTTATGATTCAGAGCGCGCTCGAGCGCACTAGAATTCATGTATAATAACATTTTCACGAACGCATATCTTACGCACAGCGGAAAACAGTACATAGTATAAATTGGCCGAAAATGCTTTGGATTTCGACAGTTCACTTTGAATGCGCAGTTAACTTAGAGTTTTGCAATTCGGATCCCAGTTACTCTTCACTATGGATCGATTATTTTACTGTCAAGAAGTGAACGGTGCCCATTTTGAACAGTTATTGCAATAAATGCAATACATATTCAAGGTAAAAACAAATAAAATTTTTCAAACTTTGACATTGAATAACTCCCAAACGGGTCAATGTATCAACCTCTGCATTGAAACAAAAACTTTCTTTTTTTTATGCCCTTTCAAATGATATGCTACAATAGGGAGTCTTTCATTTGAAATTTTTAAGTTGGGCCACCTGGGGCACCCCTTTGGGGGGTGCTCTCCCAGACCCTCTTAAAAGAGTAACCTTTCAAAATGATCGAACACATATTTCGTGATTTTTCATAATTTTGAACCGTTTCCAAAATATAGGGATGGTAATAGACTTTATAGACACCCTGTATGTATGCACGCACGCACGCAGCTATATTACAACTATATAAATTTATAATTATTATTAAGGATGCATCGGATATCCGGGAAATATCAGGTATCCGGTTGAAATTTTTATATTGATTGCTTGCGCCATTAGTGCAGAATTTTATTCTTTTTAGTTGAATTTCTTGTACAGTTCATTTCTCTTTCCTCTTTTTATTTTCACGTTGGAAAGATAAACAAAATTATTATCGCTGCTCTTTTTTTGGAAGCCATGTTCCAGATATCCGGGGAAATATCCGGCATGATATCCAGAGAAGTATCGGGTATCCGGCCGGTATACTGGATATCCGACCAAATATCGTACATCTGAAAATAATGTGATGCCGAATATCCGATAATTTTAAGATCCAGTGCATCCCTAATTATTATATCAATAAATATTAGAATTCATAATGTGTTATATAGTGTGTAATAATAGTTAAACAGATTAATAATGAAGTGAAAATTACATTTTGATTTAATGAGATCGCGCTATTTCCGAGAAAAATTCTAAAATATTCTGTATGGTAAACTCGAGTGTTACATTGCTGTCTGGATAACAGCGTTGTATTAGTTCTTCAATGTTCCTATATTGCGCAATAAATTCATTTTGCATCTCGCGCCAAACAACCTGGAAATTAAGAATTTAGAAGTATATAGAAAGTAGATAAAGACGAGAAAATAATTTTCATGCTTTTAAGGACTGTTTGATGTTTATAAGGACTTGCAATTATCGTTAAATCATCGAAAGTGTAATACTCATCTCTCACATATTCTACTTACTTGTAACAAATTCTCCTCTTCACATAGATGCTTCTCAACTTTTCGATACAAATTCTCCAGACCTTTCTTAACTTCTCTCGCCGGATATTCCTTCACTACGCGTCGCAACTCTTGCTTGCTAAAGGCCATTTGATAACTGACTTCAGATTCTTTCACACCGGCGCCTACCTTGGCTTGTACGCCTTCGAAAAAAAGCTGAAAAATAAACATTCCTAAATAATATTCTTATAATTATAAAGGTATTGTATTTTTAAATGGCAATTTACATTAAGTTTTTCAAGAGGTCGTCCAAAATACTGCGTAACATAAGCGCGAAGTGCATCTTGATATTTTTGCTTGGCTTCCTTCCGCTCGTGGTCCAAAATCGAAATTTTTAGTTGTGAGAGGAGATCATAGAGATGATGAAAATTTTCTAAAAATAAGACATATTATATGTAATAATTATTAATAATTGAAATTAGATAAGTAATTTTATTATGCACTATACTTTCTAATTACCCATTTTTATGACTTCCTGAGGTGTCTTGTGATGTTCTCGACTGTGAATAACAATAGCCTCGAACATAGTGCTTACAAGCTTCGTGTACCATTTCTCAAGATCAACCTTTCTATCAGAGTTGCGGAAAATCTTCTCCGCGGTTCTCGCAAATGGTCCGAAGTTCTCTATATATGGTAATATACCACATTTGTGTCGACGATTAACTTTTGTATCACACAATATGGACTGTAATTGCGCTTGCATGAATTTGTCAAACGCTCGTTTTACGTGGATCAGAGAGGATGCAAATGTCATCGATAAAAACGAGCCGGTATCTTGAGCGGACATGACGTGCTGTGATAAACGCACTAATACGTACATGCACCAACTGTAAATAGTATACACACAAGTGCATAAAAACACACACATACGTACATATACATATATATATAAAACATATACATATATATATGTATATATAAACAAGAGTATATTAAAGAAATTATAATAATTGAAACTCGCTTATTAAAAACTCTGGATAATCTTAAATGCAGAAGTCCAGGGTTGCCACAGAAAACGAATTTTGAAATTCCTTACTTTTCAAGATTTCCTAAATCATATAGTGGAGAATTTTTCATCATCATCTCAGTCCTATTGCTCGTGGCCGAGCATGGTGACCTCTCTCATATGCCTGTGGTGTGCACGCTGGTTGTACACAGTCATATGGGACCTACAGTTTAACGTCGATTCGGAACGACCAAATTTTTATTAGAGAAGTGCTCTTGGCAAAGATACTCTCGGTGGTTTGCCATTGTCTTCGAGAGGAGATACGAGCGTATGAAAATATTTATGGTTCTGCCGGGAATCGAATCCGGGATCTCTAGCATAGCAGACCAGTGCGCTGTCTGCTCTGCCACGCTAGTTCTCAAAATTTTTCATGGCCAATATGAAATATATAATTTTAAATTTTATTAAGTGAAAATGAACTGAGAAATGTTCAATACAAAAAGTGAATTTTGTCATGTTAGTACCATTATATTAGTGTCTAATATTATTTTTGTGTAAATTTTAGCAATTTCTAGTTCAAGCAAACTGTGCACCGATTATTTGACAGTCTTGTAATACAGTCTTAGACTGAAGTAGGAGTAATATTACAAATTAAATAGAGCAATTTAATTAATATACTGAAATTTCAGATTCTTTTATATTTTTCATATCTTTTCCAGGTTTTCCCTGACTAATTTACATTTTCATAACTTTTCCAGATCTGTGGCAACCTTGGAAGTCATTGTTTTCAAAGACCAACTCACAAGCTGTCGATTTTATCCAGGAAACCGATAAAGTTGTTCAATTCTGTTTCCAATGATGGGAATATCGCGGCCATAGTCGCACGAACATCTTCGTTTACCTGACGCTCTAGTCGTTTGCTTGCCGTCGAAGTTACTGATCCAGGACTTGCTGCACCGTTGTTAAGGTTCTCTACTTCTTCCATCTCGCTACTCTGCACAAAGCAACAGACATTCATAGTCATAAGAAATTATAATAAAAATTTACCAATGTACTTACTTTGGAAGGCGAGAGAACAGAATCCAATTGAAGAAATGAGACACAAAAGCCTTGTTCGGCGAGACATACTGGTTGCATCTGCGAAAGTACACAATTGAGGACTGAATCTAAAAGATTTCCTTCGTCCATCGGAGTCCACATTTCACCACTCAGCAAACAGATAGGCGCCGGATTAAGCAAATCTTCACCCTTTTGACCACTAGACCTCGATGTATTTACTTAAAACGTACCTCTTTATTAATATATAATTTACGAGAATTATACAGGGTGGCTTTTAATTAATAACGTAAAGTGTTATAAGCTAATAACTCTAAAAATATTTGTCCTATCAAAAAGTTGTTCATGAGAAAGTTTCATATATTCGAGAGGCCTTTCTAACTACGTAAACAAAATTCCACCCCCGTCTCCTTTTGAAGAGGGAGGGGGGGATTAATTCAAAGTTTCAAAGGGGCCCCCTGTAAAATGTTACATATTTGGATTTTACGGGGAAAAACAAGTAA